AAAAAAAAAAACAACAAGGAATACTAGGCGCGATTAAAATTGAAGTACACAGAAAAACAAACCTGGGGTCAAGAAAAGGGAGGGAACTGAGACGGCAGGAGCCGGAGATACTAATATCAACTGGGTCTCTCATCCATGGTATCACCGGCGAGCTTTTCTTCTTTACCTCCGTCGCCGGCGCCTCCATTGGGTCTCTGCGTGTTCTTCTCCGACAACGCCCGGAATGTGTTTGATGGATGCGGCAAAAGGACCACAAGATTTGGGCTGACAGTACATTTCAGCTCTAGTGGGCTGTATATAATATGTTTCATGGGCTTTTTTTAACGTTTTAGTTAGGGCCCAATCATTATCAAAGTCAAACATGATTTGACAATATTATAGTAAATGTTGGTGATATTTTGAGTAACGAAGTAATAAAAAGAAAAAAGAAAATGCTACATGTACACAATAAATGTACATAAAGATGTACATAACACTCACATGGAGTGGGGTCCACTTGATTTTTTAATTTTAATGGGTCCCACTCAATGTGAGTGTTATGTACACCTCTGTGTACAACATTATGTACCTATAGCATTACTCAAGAAAAAATAACTAACTTCTTAATCTTCTATAACAAATTGAATTTTATTGCAAGAGCGTAGAGCTCGTATTTGTGGATCTTGAATTCTTGATCATTGGAAACACATCGAGAGTGATAAAAATTTGCGAGAGAACTAAAATCTTATTTGTAGTTTATCTTAAGATCGCGATAAATATCATTTAATTTTTTGGTAGGTTATCAATAGTATAAGCAATGTTGTAACACGGGGCCCACTCGGACATGTAACTCGCGATTTGTTTTAGTGAGTCAATATGGGATTGGAGATTTAGGATTCAAAGCTAGTATAGCATGAGTTTGTAACCAAAATTTAAAAAATAAATAAAATACAAAAACTCACATGATACCTTAGTGCAACAATCAAACGTCGTTGTGACTTTGAGTTGCAGAAACCAAATATCGGTGCTTAAACAAAATTATACTGTGATTTTAATAAAAAAAAAGGGCTCAGTAGTTCAATCGAAATTGTCGATACGCTTCCGAAAACATATCACAACAGTGATTCCAAATCCAAACGCAAAAGTTATGTTGGTTTCATTCCTTATGACAAACACCCTTCGAATGATCTCTAGCAGCTTAATATTCCTCACATGCATGATCTACATTTAGAGGTACGGCTTGTCTAGCAGCTTAATATTCCTCACATGCATAATCTACATTTAGAGGTGGCCACAAGCCGCACGACCCGTCGACCCGGCTTGGACTCGTTTCGGTCACGAGTCTGGACCCAACTTGGATTAACCAAACCGATTCAAGGCCATGTATTCTACGGCCCTGGCCAGACAGTCTAGGTCGGTTCGATCTGGTCCAGGAGATCAACTTAGTTTTTGTTTTGTTTTATATATTTTTATTTTAAGATAGAGTGCATGATTCGGATGGAGTCCTGCCTAACACAGCACAAGCCTAAATAAGGGCCGGTTCTATGTCGCCATTTTCGACCCCGAATGCCCGTCAAGCGGGGGATTTCTGCCAAATGTATGTATCTACATTAGAACACAACTTTAATTAACACATTTTTTTAGAAAAAAATTGAACCGCAATAAAACCATACCATCAAAAAAACCGAACTAACCAAACCGAACTAGTTTCTTTCTCATCCAATCCCTTCGAAATCCATTACCAGCCAATAAATTTGGGCCGAATTGCCACGCATCATTTCGAAAATAGGATAAAACTGAAAAAGAAAAAAATTAAATCCACAGCAGCACAAAGCCACCCAATCAAATCCCGACGGTATTTTTCCCCATCTTCCACCTCCGTCTCCCTCTCTTCCCCCCCACGGCGGCTCCGCCCCAACCCACCGCAAACCCCCACCATGCTGGCCGCGGCGGCGTCGGCGCTCCACTCCACCTCAATGTGCCTCCCTTCCCCAAAACCACCCCCAGCCCTCGACCAAAGCACCACCAGCACCACCACCACCGGCGGCGGCAGCCGCATCTTCCTAACGACGCCGTCGAAGCCCAAAACCCTCCTCCAGGACCACCCCCTCTACCAGACCGCCCACCCCAACCTCTCCTTCCAGTTCAAGGAGAAGATCCTCTGCCTCGAGATCCTCGGCGTTGATTCGGGCCGGGTCCTGTCCCGGAACCCCTCCCTCCGCTCCGCTTCTCTCGACTCCCTCCACGCAGTCATCGACTTCCTCCAATCAAAGGGCCTCCACCTCAAGGACCTCGGCCGGATCTTCGGCATGTGCCCCACCGCCCTCACCGCCGACGTCGGCTCAGATCTGAGTCCGGTCTTCGATTTCCTCGCCCGCGACCTCGGCGTCCCCGATCGGAACTTCCGGCGGTCGGTCAACAAGTGCCCGAGGCTTCTGGTCTCCAGCGTCCGCGACCAATTGCGGCCGGCCCTGTTCTACCTCCGCCGGCTGGGGTTCAGGGACGCCCACGCGCTGGCCTACCAGGACCCGATCCTCCTCGTCTCGAGCGTGGAGAACACGCTCATCCCCAAGCTGGACTACCTCGTGGGCCTGGGCCTTACCAGAAAGGATGCGGTGGAGATGGTGCTGAGGTGTCCTGGGCTTTTCACGTTCAGCATCGAGAACAATTTCAGGCCCAAGATGGAGTATTTCAGGGAGGTGATGGGCGGCGAATTGCAGGAACTGCAGGAATTCCCACAGTACTTCACTTTCAGTTTGGAGAATAGAATAAAGCCGAGGCACAAAGAGGTCGTAGAGAGTGGGGCACGGGTCCCGTTGCCGGCGATGCTAAAGAGCACCGATGAGGAGTTCAGGGAGCTCTTGAAAAGGGCCAATTCCATATAGATTCACTTTATTTATTTATTTATTTATTTCTTGATTTGTTTTGAAATTTTTTGTTGGATGTGTATAAACTGTGTGAATCTTGTATGTGAGACATGTATGTAACTATTGCTAAGGCTCTTTTTTTAACACATTGTAAATGAATTGTCTTTGTGAACAAAAAAAAAAAATGTTCTTGCAGATGAACAATGAATTTTAGCTTGATAATATTTTGCAAGCATGCCTTGTGATTGATGGTGTTATTGTTCTCCAATTGATGTTTGTGTTATGAAAAGTTGAAAAACATTGATGGAAACTCTTCTTTTTATCCTTAAAAAAAAAATGCCATAAATGAATAGCCTCACTTTATATATATATATAGATCTTGGTTGGCGATCAGTGGATAGCAGATTGTATTAGCGGATAGCGGATTATATTAGCTGATTTGACCAGCGGATTTCATTAATGGTTTTTAATTAAGCGTTTGGTAAATAGCTCAAAACTTGTAGCTGTTTGACATTGCAAAATGACCAATAAGGACATTTTATTATTTAGGGTGTATTCTTTTAATAATAATATATTAGAACATTTAATATTTTTTTAGTTGGTAATTTATAAATATATTATTTTTTTTTTTAAATTTACTAACACTTGATGAAGAAGTTATGAATTTTACATTTTTCTAGATAAATTAATCATATAGATGACATATTATTATTTATTAGCTCCATAGACCAATGTAGATTGTAAAATAAATAATACTACAAATTAAAAAGTTACAAGTAAATGATTTTTGTGAATCCTCTATCCCAAAACGCTGCTCTAATGAGCTTTTTCTAAATTAGAGTTTATGGCACAAAAAGTTTATCAAATAAGTTGTTTACCAAACATGCTCAATAGCGGATTTTGACGGGTCAAACCTCTCAATTAAGTTCAATCCGCTAATTTGTCTTAAATCCGCTATCTTCCAAACGGGCAATAGAGATAAATGGATAGATAAATAGATGGATATGCATAATTTCACGAAGGATCGGATAAATAGAAAAATATACGTAAGTTCGCGTATAATTGGCGTTAAGACTATGTCCAATACAAATTATCAAACGATAGGATGGGTAGTAACTTGTGGCTTACATCTATAAACATATAAACGTATAAGTATGATAGATTGATCCGTCTGTCGAATATGTAACATCCGTAATGCTTGTCAAATAATCGAAAATGCAAGTAAAACAAAAAATGTGAAATAAATGTAAAAAAAAAACTATAGAATACATAAATGTGAAAATAATTAAAAATAATATATGAATTGATAGCTGATAGCTGATTGTTATAAAAGTAAACTTCATAATACATAAAATGTGAAAAAAATTGAAATAATATCACCCCTATATATAATTCCCGAATGCGCTGAGCCTACGTGGTTGCTTCTGGTGCTTCGGAATCCTACTTGGCGAAAAATCATACTTCGTAATTAGGTTTGGACAAATAATATTAATATATTAATAATTAATAATCTAGGTTCGGTCATTCCATAAATATTAATTAGCTAACTTAGGTATTTTAATATCACTTGTACTAATATAACCCTTTAATTCTTTGTAATCACCCCTATATATAATTTCCGAATGCGCTGAGCCTATGTGGTTGGTTCTGGTGATTCAGAATCCTACTTGGCGAAAAATCATGCTTCGTAATTAGATTTGGACAAATAATATTGATATATGAATAATTAATAATCTAGGTTCGGTCATTCAATAAATATTATTTAACTAACTTAGATATTTTAATATCACTTTTACTAATGTAACCTTTTAATTCTTTGTAATTTTACATAGTGAAGCACTTAGTGACTATTATATCCCTGACTTTTGATTTGTTTCCTTTAATTAACTATTGAATTGTAAATGTATTTTAAAAATTGATAACTTTTGTATTTCTTATCGGTTTTACATATATAATATATCAAATTAATCATCTTTTGATGATCTTCGATTTGACATCCACATTGTATATATGAAATAAATAAATTATATTTATCTTTATAATAATAAAAAATAATAATATTTATTAAAATTCATTAGAAAATTAAAATTATAATATAACACATGTAAGTCGCACAAATAAAAAGTGTCATACTAATTATATAATAATATATATATTTTTATAAAAGGTATTTAAACTTTCAACTACTTTTTTCTCATTCATTTTAGATTTTAAGAAAAAAATTAACAAGCACTCGTGTAATACACGTGCATTGTACTAGTAAGAATTGATAGCTAAGGGCCTATTATAATGGCGGATTTGAGTAGAGGTTTTGTAAATACTAAATAACATCTATATATATATAATTGCTAGCATGTAGCATTTAATAAAACCTATTTAATAAAATTTCTAAAATTTTTCCCTCCATTTTCGGTTACAAAATTTATCATTAATAATTTTTTACTTCTCATTAATACATCCTATTAAGTGTAATCATGTATTTTTTCTATTATATTATATAATAGTTATTGCTAATGCCAACTAATAATAATTCACAATATATATAAATTACCTAATTATAAACAATTGTTTCAAGTTATTTATATTGACATCAATATTATTTTTTCTTTTGTATCTCATGAAAAAAATTCCTTAAAAATAATTAGTAAATTGTTTTAATAGCATAGTCAAACAACTTTAGAATCTTATAAACAATTGTTTCTTAGTAGTAGTAGTAATAATAATAATAATAATAATAATAATAATAATAATAATAATAATAATAATAATAATAATAATAAACTATTATTATATAATGATAATAAACAATTGTTCATAATAATAAAATCATTAATTTATTTTTCCTAATGATCAAATTTTTAAAAATGTAATATGTTCATTATCTAGAATTTTAATATTAAATTCTCAAATATTACTTAGAGTATTTTATGTACATCTGTGCTTGTGCATAGGATATCTACTAGTATTTTGTAAATAGCGAACTATAATAATGGATTTGACTAGCACTTTTGTAAATAAAATATTTTATAAATAGCGGTTTGTATAATTATTTTAAAATCTTATGTGTGACATGTTATTTTACAAATTATCTTTTCTCAAAATACCCCTATATGAGCTCTATCTATATGTTATTAGATTATTGTAAAATTAGTGAAGTGATAATAATTTAGAGAGTTGACACATCTTGTTTGGTTAAATTGACCTTTTGAACCAAAACATAAAACACTGATATTTAAAAGGCTCAATGCATTGAAGAATATAAGATTTGTATGATAACATGTCAGCATAATAATTTCAAAATAACAATGCAGTTCGTTATTTACCAAATAAACTCGCTATTTGCTATCAGCTAAATACTCAAATAAAGTCACTGTTAAGATTTGTATGATAACATGTCAGCATAATAATTTCAAAACAACAATGCAGTCCGTTATTTACCAAATAAACTCGCTATTCGCTATCAGCTAAATACTCAAATAAAGTCACTGTTTTTTTTTTTTTTTT